GGTAAAAAGCGAAACGAGTATAAAACAGGACGAAGGCGAACTTAAAATGGCATGACAAGATAAGCGCCAAGCGCACACGTCTTCTGTCCATGCACTGATTAACCATACCACTGGACAGGTCTAATAACGCACATTTTAAATATGCTAAGCAGACAGGATTATCTTTTCAATTATTTTGTATTTTAATTCCTAATATATATTGTTTTATGGCAGGTGCCGGCTCCTGTTTACAGTAAATAGTTTTTTAGTTTAAGCGCTTTTTATCTGTGATCATTTATTGTATGGTTGCTCATAGTTTAAATTGTTCCTGTTAATTTTATCACTGAAGGCCTATGTTGATATCAGGAGCTACTGCTTCTGAAAGGCAGCTGCGTACAACGTAAACCGCTCGCGCTCATAGCTGAAGAACAACCAATCACTTTCGAGAATTTCGTTATTTGCTGAGGTATTACAAGCGATATTTTCCCATCTGATACAACACTGGCGCGTAGACAATTGTCAATAAAAGATACTCCGCGGAATCAAAAATGCTACANAGAACGTCGGCAAGAACAAAGCAAGCAATTGAGAAATCTTGAGAAACTTTTCAAGATGAGAATGAGACGAGATAAGCGTATTAGTTTCTGTTGATTCAACTTCTGAAACTGGCTGAAAATCGAGAAAGCTAAATCCACAGAGCTTAGCAAATTGTCACGTTAAAGTTTGCTCGCTTTGTGGCGCCTGTCAGTTTATTTGTCACCAGATAAACAAATGAGATGAAACGTTCACACCACATGACTCTAATGTAAATTAAAGAGGAAGTCAAGAGGGTAAGGCAGACAACGAAAGAATGGCAGATGCAACGCAAATATCGACCATTACAAAATTTTTAGACTTGCAGTTTATTGCAGATTTTTCTCAAATTTAAACACTCAAGTCTGATTACGGTTTGGGACAAAGTCAAGATGAACGAACGACCCCTCGCAGCTCCCAATTCAAGTAGTGACACAACCGAGAAGCTTGTTTGCGAAGACATAGGATCATTTAGTCTTAAAATGGTACCCTTTCCTTCAGCTGTCCTGTTTCGCTCGGTGTCTGTCGTCTTGTG